GGTGGCCACCCCGTCCACCCCTGAAGCATTCATCATCGGCTACACGGCCACCCCCACCCCCACCACCTCCGCCTCCGCCATAGTTACCTTTCCCAGCCGATGAGTAGCTGCCACCACCACCGCTCCTGTACCCATGGCTTCCCACATCATCTCGGCCCATCTTGGGTTCAGCCTTGTTCACTGAGATGACCCTTTCACCAAAGTCCCTTCCATGCATATCTCTAATGGCATCATCCATGGCTCGGCGATCAGCAAAAGTGATAAACCCAAATCCACGTGAACGGCCAGTATCTCTTTCCAGCATGATCTATACATAACACACCATTAATGGCGATTCCCAAATATATATACACACACTACTTGTAGCAAGACACTGAGAGCAGACGGTCGCTACTAAATGTAAAAGGCACCAAAAGAGCCCCACAGATCATATCTAATCCTGGTCATATCAAGAACCAACCCATCTGTTCAGTTTTTTTTGCTGCATCACTACAAGAGTTCCTGGCTTTCAATCTCCCGTATATCAATCATATCACTGGCATACACAAATCAGATTTCCAGAAACTGAAGCATCTTCTAAGCAAGTCTCCAATCTACAGCAGCCGCAACATGCAGCACAAAATGACAACTAGCTGAACAAAATATACTCGGAACACAATAAGACAGTTACGCTGAAAAAGAATGAAAAGACATCGTTACCCCCTTTAAAAAATACACGTGTCAACATCTGGAGAAGAAAGACAAAAAATTGGGAAGGGAAAGAGATGCGGAATTGATGAGAAGGTTCTACAGACTGAAGGAGGTAAATGATTCAATAGTTGAAGGCTAAAATCACCCCTGCACACACATCTGTTTTCAATATAAGATATAACCTGTATGTGAGAACCTCGACCTCCTTCATTACCACTGGAGCTAACCAATTCCTTAACACAGGCTACATAGCACCACAAATCAGTAAGAAAGGATTCCATCCCAGAAAAATAACTTTCTTTGGTCCCCAAAGGCTTCCAACAAAGCTCAGCACATGTCAGATAACAGAGAGTGGTAAATCGGGGGAACAAATGGCCCAGGCACGAAGATGGTTCGGCTAGCTTGAAGTCTTAAGTTAGAACATATATAAGGATTGAGAAGGAGAATGGATGAATGAAACGAAAAGACGAGTCAGACCAACCCATGAAGCCAGAAGACAACTCATGTGGTGAAAGCAAAGAGTCCACGAGAAAGACAGGAAGGAAGCTCTAGGTAACAACAGGAGTAGCCATCTCAAATAATCAGAGCCAATCTCAGAAGATCAGCAAAGCAACAACTGTGTGTAATCTCGTTCAGACTGAACTTCATGATATGCTCAAAGTACTTAAGGAACTAGGTGTGAGGCTTGATGTGTCCGGAAACAGGATAATCCTCCGAAGCTAGATGGCTGGGATATGGAACTGGTCATAGCAAGAGAACCAGAACTCAAACTGGTAAAACTTGGACGCAAGCAGAGATCAACCTCAGGTGACAACACAGCTTCATCCACCTGAAGGGCAGAAAGGACACCGCCCTGATTGGAGTATCTTATATCCAATCCCAAACTAAACCATTCATCCCATCCCACCTGCTCTAATCAACGTGACAAACAACGAGCTTTTTCCTAAACGCGGGGATCATCAACTTAGATAATACAAGAAGAGAAAAAGACAATTTTGAAGAAGGCAGTCGTAACCCAGCATCAGCATACTCAAAGAACTTGTGTCGGTACAGCTCATGTTTGCAGGATACTTCTGCCATAAAACCACAAACAACTGAATCTTCCTGATCAGGTAAGGGACACTTTCTTCACAGAAGAAACTGTGTGCGCTCAGCATCCAGAAAACAACATCCAAAAACCCTGGAGACCATTTTGCTAAGAGGCTAAAAAATCACTGTGTTTCCTATACTGTCAGGTAGGATTTTCTAACACAGCATATTCTCAACTTGACCAGCGTTCCTCTGATCAAATTCACCACTATATCATCCATCTACAATGTTTCAGTGTCACATTACCAGCATCCAGGAAACAAAGGAGGAGAAAATAAATAGGGTTAAAAGAGCGACAACAAAATAACATTAACACTTTGCCAAAACTCAAAGAATTTCAACCAGATATTCATGTTATTCATTAGCAGTTGACCACAAAACATGACCGTAAAGCCAGGGACTTTAAACGTTTGAAACCCATGAATTTTCATAAGTAGCCATTGTGCATTCTATCGGAAATCAAACATATTATGTACTCATTCCGAAAAAAACAAACCCAGGACTTTTCTCTCAATAGACCTTCCAAATCTTGTTAACAAACCGAGATATCACATATAGGAGAAGAGAACGTAATTACTCAACCTCGTGGATAAACTTCGTAAATAAACTCTTCGAATTCACAGCGAAACAAACTTAGTGAATGAAACGACTTGAAACCAAGAAAATAGAGAACGACCGAGTTTCGTCGTACCTGACAATCGAGGATCTCCCCAAAACGGCTAAAAGCTCGCTCAAGGTCTCTCTCCGTAACGTCCGGAGATAAGCCACCGACGAATATCCTGCCACCTTCTGTCGCAGCCATTTCTACTCGCTTCTCAACAAGATAATCCCCTTAACTAGACAGAAAAATTGGGGAAAACCCTAAATTAAGTGAAACCCACAAAACCCCTAAAACAATTCTCACCAGAGAAGAAGAAGAAGAAAAAGTCATCACATATACGAAGAAGAAGATAGATGAAAGAGCCTTCGTCTGTTACCTCTGACAATCCCTTTCCAAAACAATTCGCCTTTTGGAGATGTTTTCTCTCTTTTTTGAAGTTCCATAACCTTTTAATTGAAGGAAACCCTAGACGGTTGGCTGGTGGTGGCTGCAGGCTCCTTCTAGAAAGCTACAAGTGTTCAGAGCCCAACCCAAAAACACGTTATGGGCCCAATGGCCCAATCATAGTTGACCATTCACTACAAATATGTATATATATATTGGACGGTACGGTTTTCGAGATATGTAATTCATCGTGTTTGGTTGGGATTATTACAAAAATACCTTTAAATGTCGATTTCACTTACATGACCTACCCTTCAAACAAAAAATCTTCAAAAAAAAACTGAAAAAGAATGAAAAGACATCGTTACCCCCTTTAAAAAATACACGTGTCAACATCTGGAGAAGAAAGACAAAAAATTGGGAAGTTACTAAATTAAAAAAATTTGAAAAACCAAACCAGTTTTTTTACCCCTTTTCGACAGACACTTTCATTTCTTCATAGTCGTTTCTTCTTCTTCATTTTCTCTTCACTCTGTGATTTTTTTGTGCGATCTTTCTGCGAGTTCGTCAAACTCGTCAAATTTGCACGAAGAATGGCTTCGTCTTCGGCCCCCTCTTCGTCTTCATCATCTTCGGCCCCCTCTTCGGACCCTACTTGCGAAGACCTCCAGGTATAGTTTTTTAACTCCGCAAAAATCAAATTTTTTAGGGTTTCAGATATACATTGAGATTCGGTTTTAGAATTTCTATTAAGTTTTCGTTAAGAATAGGGTTTGAAATAGAAATTTGAAAAACTATGGTTTGAATGACAAATTGTCACTGAAATATCGAAATAGGGTTTTCGGATTGGGTGAGAAACAGTGTTTTGTGAAAAAGACGGATAGAAATCGAGTCACGATGATATTGTCGACAGTCGGATGCACTAAAACATAGATTAATGGTCATGCTAGATATTAGTTAAACTTAGAGCACCCGTCAAACAAGTCAAACTAGTCAAACTCGTCAAACAAGTCGGAGTTTGACGAGTTTGACGAGTTTGACGTGTTTGACGAGTTTGACGTGTTTGACGAGTTTGACGAGTTTGATAATGAGTGTTAAATTTGTTTTTGCAGGTACCTTTTGTGTATGATGAGGTTCTTATCACGAAAGAGGTTCTTAATACGAAAGAGGTTTTAAACCTGATCAGATACAACTTAATCCGAAAGAGGTTCTTAAGAAATAAAATACTAATAAATTAAAGAGGTTCTTAACAAATGAAATAGTACGGAGAAGAATCTCAGCCTTCCTCGGTAGACACAGACACTTCCTTGCCATTCGCAAATATATCAGATGCTTGGGAGCAGCAGGGACCTCTACATCCTCCTTTTCCTGAACAAGTATCCCTCCATCATCATCATCAGTCGAACCCAAAATAGTATTAGATACTGCTCTAGGAGTAGGGGGAATCGCATCACTATCATCTTCTTCATCATCAGTTCCTACATATGACCAATATGAATATCAGTCATCGTTCGTCAACCAAAAGAGTCAAACCGGTCAAACTCATCAACCAAAAGAGTCAAACCAATCTAACTCGGGCTGTCCAAATAAAGTGTAAAGTGTAAAATCATACCTTGCTCGTTCTGTGCAGTTTCTACATCCTCTTGATCATTATCGGATTTTTGCATCTGGAAAAATGATAAATTCTACCCTAGACCAATGTGTAACATAAAGTGTAATAGAACATTTGGGGTTTGTTTGGGGGAACATGCATTGCTAAACAAAATAAGGTGTTCAATTAAGTTAGCTCCGATTGTTTTTTGCCTATCAAATTTGTTATACGGGGTGTTTATTGATATGCTCATGGTTGAGAATTGACAAATTCGCCAAATCATAGAGTTTGACGAGTTTGACGTGTTTGACGAGTTTGACGAGTTTGACGAGTTTGACGAGTCAACGCGGTCAATCTGTGGTCAAAATTAAATTCCGATGGTTCAAAAGGTCCCTGCTGCTCCCAAGCATCTGATATATTTGCGAATGGCAAGGAAGTGTCTGTGTCTACCGAGGAAGGCTGAGATTCTTCTCCGTACTATTTCATTTGTTAAGAACCTCTTTAATTTATTAGTATTTTATTTCTAAAGAACCTCTTTCGGATTAAGTTGTATCTGATCAGGTTTAAAACCTCTTTCGTATTAAGAACCTCTTTCGTGATAAGAACCTCGTCAAACACGTCAAACACGTCAAACTCGTCAAACACGTCAAACTCGTCAAACTCAGGAACCCCAAATGTTCTATTACACTTTAACTCGTCAAACTCAGGAACCCCAAATGTTCTATTACACTTTATGTTACACATTGGTCTAGGGTAGAATTTATCATTTTTCCAGATGCTCTCCTTATAACAAAAACACGCTCAATACGTCATAATAGACCATGTACACAACTTTGAACCATCGGAATTTAATTTTGACCACAGGTTTTATTTCTTAAGAACATCTTATTTGACTCGTCAAACTCGTCAAACTCGTCAAACACGTCAAACTCGTCAAACTCTCTGATTTGGCGAATTTGTCAATTCTCAACCATGAACATATCAATAAATACCCCGTATAACAAATTTTATAGGTAAAAAACAATCGGAGCTAACTGAATTGAACACCTTATTTTGTTTAGCAATGCATGTTCCCCCAAACGAAACCCTAATGTTCTATTACACTTTATGTTACACATTGGTCTAGGGTAGAATTTATCATTTTTCCAGATGCTCTCCTTATAACAAAAACACGCTCAATACGTCATAATAGACCCTGTACACAACTTTGAACCATCGGAATTTAATTTTGACCACAGGTTGACTCGTCAAACTCGTCAAACTCGTCAAACTCGTCAAACTCGTCAAACTCGTCAAACTCGTCAAACTCGTCAAACTCGTCAAACTCGTCAAACTCGTCAAACTCGTCAAACACGTCAAACTCGTCAAACTCTCTGATTTGGCGAATTTGTCAATTCTGAACCATGAGCATATCAATAAACACCCCGTATAACAAATTTGATAGGCAAAAAACAATCGGAGCTAACTTAATTGAACACCTTATTTTGTTTAGCAATGCATGTTCCCCCAAACAAACCCCAAATGTTCTATTAAACTTTATGTTACACATTGGTCTAGGGTAGAATTTATCATTTTTCCAGATGCTCTCCTTATAACAAAAACACGCTCAATACGTCATAATAGACCCGGTACACAACTTTGAACCATCGGAATTTAATTTTGACCACAGGTTGACCGCGTTGACTTGTCAAACTCGTCAAACTCGTCAAACTCGTCAAACACGTCAAACTCGTCAAACTCTCTGATTTGGCGAATTTGTCAATTCTGAACCATGAGCATATCAATAAACACCCCGTATAACAAATTTGATAGGCAAAAAACAATCGGAGCTAACTTAATTGAACACCTTATTTTGTTTAGCAATGCATGTTCCCCCAAACAAACCCCAAATGTTCTATTACACTTTATGTTACACATTGGTCTAGGGTAGAATTTATCATTTTTCCAGATGCTCTCCTTATAACAAAAACACGCTCAATACGTCATAATAGACCCTGTACACAACTTTGAACCATCGGAATTTAATTTTGACCACAGGTTGACCGCGTTGACTCGTCAAACTCGTCAAACTCGTCAAACACGTCAAACTCGTCAAACTCTCTGATTTGGCGAATTTGTCAATTCTGAACCATGAGCATATCAATAAACACCCCGTATAACAAATTTGATAGGCAAAAAACAATCGGAGCTAACTTAATTGAACACCTTATTTTGTTTAGCAATGCATGTTCCCCCAAACAAACCCCAAATGTTCTATTACACTTTATGTTACACATTGGTCTAAGGTAGAATTTATCATTTTCCCAGATGCTCTCCTTATAGTCTCACCAGGTCCAGAAAATCGGTTTTGTTTAAACCTTCCACTTACTCGTTTTTCTTCCACTATAAGCGGCAATACCACTACATCTACGTGTATTGGATGAGTTTTTGGAGATTTCACTTGTTTCTTGCAGCAAATTTACCAAAAAATCGCGCTGGAGAAGAGATATTCAAGAGAGAGAAGAAGAAAAACTCGAAGAGAGAGAATGCGATGTATGACGGGAGACAACGATAAAGAGGAGAGAGAAAATGAGTAAAAAGTAGATCTATATTTTATTTATTTTAGTATATTATTATAATATTATATAAATAAAGGAAGGGTATTATAGGGATTCTACATTTATAAGGGTATATTTGATGTTGCCGTTTTTTTGTTACTGTGCGAGGGTATGGGCTGTAAGTGAAATCGACATTTAAGGGTATTTTTGCAATTGCCCCTGTTTGGTTCGATCCAAAATAGTGCATTTAGTTCTATAAAAATTATGCTAAATTAGAATTGAATATTAGTCCGTTTGATTCAATTCGGTTTTAAATTGTTCAAATATTTTGTTAAATTTAATAATAAGTACATTATTATACTAATAAATAAGGGTGGATAGTTTGAAATTGTTCTAATATTTATCGGATTTGGTTGACAAACCGGTTTATTCAATTATATAACGAACCGGATTGGATGTCCATCCTAGTTTTTATATCTTTGACTTTTGAAAATTTAAAAAAATATAGCTATTTAATTTTTTAAAATACAAAATTCGATCATATTATTCCATTCAAATGGGCAAACAGACCCCATAGTTAGAAATATGGATATTTCGGACCCGAATATAAGATGAATTTTATATCAATTTTGGTTTGTAAATATCGCACAGCTTAAATTTACCACATCGGCAAGAGCACCAGCATTATTATATACAATAATAACTGTACAGACAAATTGGACCCGACTAACGGAACGGTCCGGTGAGAATAATCCAGCCAGTGGGTGAGTGAGGAGGTAGCGCCGTCAATTAAATCATTCATTCATTCATGGAGAAAGGGAAGGCGAGTCACCGTGGTTCCGACGCCGTCGCCGGAGGAAGATAAGGTCGAGGTCGGGGTCGGGGTCGGGGTCGTAAGTGTCTTGGTAGATCTGCGGGGAAGGATCTGGAGACGCGGATTGAGCAGAGTACCGAGATTTTCCACAACGAGTTGATAGCTCTCCACGAGCTCGAGCTGTCGAGCTATTATCTCCGACCGTCTCGGGAGCAGCTCAACGGGCTCACCGCCTGGTATTACTATGTATTCGATCGCTAACCGAACCTCCTATTTCACAAACCATTGAAAAAACTGTTATTTGGTTTCATTTTCTTTATTTAGTTTTAGAAGTTATATTTTCGTATAGATGAATTCGAGAGAGTAATGTTTATGATGGAGTTTTACCTCGAGGGCGTCGAGTTCTTCCAAGCTCGGTTTCCTGTCCGGAGCGTCGTCTTTGATCTCGATATCGGTGGAATATTTCTGCGGCGTTTTCACGGCCGAGCCAAACGATTCTCTCCCGAGGATCATCCGGACCGCCTTAACCATTTGCGCCATCGTATTCGACTACTCGATATAACCAAAAGAACCAAGAAATCATATCAAATTTATGTAAAACAAAAGTATAGAAGCTGCTGCGAGAGGGGATGGTTGATATATACCTTAGTGACAAATACCGGAATCTTGTATAATTTCGCAACTCCGCGGATCCACGGATTTTCTTTCAATTCAGAACTCGAAACCAGAACGACGTCCGCTTCTCCGACATCATCCGTTACGTCTATTTCGTTGTCCAGACCCATCACTTCGGCTACTTGCAGGAGATCAGCTTCAAGGATCTAAAAAAGCAAAAACTACGGAGTGAGAATCAAGGAACCCGTGATAGAAAACGAGAGGAGAAAGATATGGCCCAAATCATTCATTACCTTGTAAGTATAAACACAAACCGGTGAGATTCGTCGGGCCACGGATTTATCACCGCCGACTTTCTTGAATCGGCTAGGGATAAAATCTTCATCTTCCTCGACGGTCTCCACCTCAGTTGCAATCTCTTCTTGATGGTTCTCCATTGGAATGGGAGTGATCTCATGAGAAGCATCACCTTCACCATGAATTTGACGGATCTCGAATGGAGGAGATTTCCCTATATGCAAGAAGTCGGGTTTGAATTTTCCGATCAATTCGCTTAAAAATTCGAATATGAACGAATCAGAGATGCTCGTTTTTACCTGCAAGTATAGCATCCACGGTGACATCTAGCCTGTGGTGAACACGACACTCGGTTTTCGATATCATCTCGACAGCGCAAGTGAATGTCGGAGGCCCTTTCCTTTCGAGAATAGTCTTCTGCACTTTTCTCTTCCTGGCTTCCTCGTCACCGAGAGTTACACTCTGCTCTTCGGGCAGAAGAAAGTGAATGCGGTTTACGTGAAAAAGATATCGACTTTCATGAGTTTACGCAATAAAAAGATGCCGACTTTCGATAAGACGGGGAAAGAAGATCGCACCTCGATGCCACCGACGAGGATCTGAAGAGAAGGGTTCTTGATTATGTTGTCTATAGTCATTCCATGAGCAGTTGCGACTAGCTGAACGCCTCGTTGAGCGATCGTGCTCGCAGCTAATGCCTCAAGCTCGGTACCAATCTCGTCGATGATGATTACCTGTGGCATATGATTCTCGACTGCCTCGATCATAACCTGAGAGAGTTTCAAACGAGTAAATCCGTTTTCGTGTAACGAGATCCCTTTTACGAGATCAGAGGGATTTCAATGGCTTACATCATGTTGCAGAGTCACATTTGGAACTTGCATCCTCCTTGCTCGACCGATCCCGTGGTGAGGAACATCGCCGTCACCTCCAATCTCATTGGAGGTATCGACAATCATAACCCGTTTCATGTGCTCATCCGCTAACATCCGGGCGATTTCTCTGATTTAAAGATGAAGTTCCCATATCTTTAAAAGCTCACACAGCAGGACAAAGGTATCGAGACAAATATTGTCTCGACAGGGCAGAAAACCTCGAAACATCGATCTATGTGCTGCCCGAAAACAATAGGGTTTTACCTGATTAAAGTCGTTTTGCCAACACCGGGAGGGCCAATGACCAAGATGGATCCTCCTCCCTCTACCAAATCGCAGATAATGTCAGCACTTCCCGATACAGCACGACCTACCCGACAAGTAAGACCGATGATTTGCAGCTTTCGATTTCGGATAGCGCTTATCCGATGCAAAGATCTGTCGATCCCCGAACGATTATCGTCCGAGAAATCACCAACCTAGATGTATATACAAATATGTCAAGTTATTGGGCATTTTATGAACTTAAACACTACGTACCAGTAACATAAGAACTGTCTTCAGATCATAGAATTCCCAGATTAAGTGTTCGAATTTTCGAACTTTTTGAACAATCAAGACCACAAATTAGCAATAAATCGGACCAATTTTGCCAAGTAATTACAGAGATTAGACCAGATTTACCTTCGCTACTGCATGTCTCAGATCTTCGTGCGTCACAGTTTGTTCAGACATGACCCAGTCGCCGGAAGGAAACCTAGCCAATGGCCTCCTCCCGAGATCCAACACCACCTCAATCAATTCACCGATCTCTTCGTGCTTCGCCAGCTCTCTCCTCATCCTCGACGGCAGAATCTCGAAAAACGCCTCGAGCTCCGTCGCCACCGCCGTCCTCGGAGAAGTTGAGGCAGAGCTTTCAGATTCCGGCGACGGCGTCCGGCGATCGGATCCGTAGCGGTCGGACGGTCGGCGCACCGGGGAAGGCGGTGCCGGTGGCTTGGAAGAAGAGATCATCTGACGAGATCCACGTGTCCGGCGGAATGAAGAGGAGGCGGAGGCGGCGGAAATCAGCCGGCGAGAAGCTTGCCATGAGGTGTTGATGTCGATCAGAACAAACCGGGAATTCAACGTCCTCATCACCGATTTTAATATTAAATTTTAAACAAATGTGTATATAAATATAATTCTAATGTATATAATAAAATTAAAGAGAATTACTGTTTATATACATATATATATTGCATTTTCCGACGTTTAGCTAATTACAGGGAGAGAGAGAAGGGAAGGAGCTCGATGGAGAAGAAGATATGAAGCGCGAGGGTCCATAAAACGACACCGTTTAGAGAAGCGTGCAGGGATTGGATTGTGGAGGGAGGGAAGATTCCACAAGGGATCAGCATCTCCGCCATAGACTTGTAGCAACGCAGGCGGGGTCCACTGCAAGATAACAAGGCCGTTTCAGCAAGTGCTTCATGTGATGCCACGTGGATATCCTGACAACGTGTGGACACGTGTCTGGCTAAGAAGCCCCCATGGTTTACCCAAATCTCTGGAACTCTGACAACGAACACGGAACGGAAGTGAAGTGTAGGTCTTAGATCATCTTCTCGCTTGACCATTTTGGGTATGAGAATTGTGATTTATAAAAAGAGTTTGTTGGAGTGTCAACCGACCTTAGCTCAGTTGGTAGAGCGGAGGACTGTAGTGAGTTAACACAGAGATCCTTAGGTCGCTGGTTCGATTCCGGCAGGTCGGAATTTTTTTTATATTTTATAAAATTATTACTTGCCATCCAAGTTACAGAATCAAACGCTTAAAACGCATTCTTCTGTGACACCCTTTTTCCATTGGTAAAGAACAAAGAAGCGTGCGAAAGATAGGTTTTCATTTGATGAGGGAAGCATTCTTCCAGCAAAAAGAAACAAACTGACAAAAACGATACACAGCTATTTAACGCCCTTTCTGTATACAGTAACGTTTCCCGAGCCAAAACTGTTTTACCAAATCAGTAAAAAAAAAGAGTAAGGATTTTTTTTAATATTTACAGCAGAAGAAGAGGAGGAGCAGAAGGAGAAGGAGACAGCTCAAAAGACCAAAAATTTCTTCTTCTTCTTGCTCTGTGGCAGCGGCAGCGGCAGCTCTGCAATGGTTCCAAAGAATAGAGAACACAGTTTCAAAAACATGTTACAGAAAGGATTCGAAAGACAGAGCTCAACTGGAACATTATCCATGCTACATCCATCCCCTTCTTGGTACAGAATCCATACCTCCTTCAGGGTATATTGAATTGTAATGCACCTCAGCCCAGAAGCTTAGGCATATAACTGATACAAACCCAGCACGGAAGAAGGGTTACCGTTTAATTGCTAATACGGCCAATAAACACACTCTCTGAAGCAAGAGAGAGAGAGAGAGAGAGAGAGAGATTTTCAGGAGCTGGAATGTAGTAAACAGAAAGTGTGATGCAACAGGATGAAACTTACGCCGGTTAGACTTCTGAATGTGAGGCAGGATCTCAATGTAACACGTATCCTTGAACGAAGTTATCACAAATATCCTCACACCAAACTGCACTTACAATGTGAAATCTAACGGATATGTGGTAAAGGATCAGATTAAGCTGTGTATATGTATACATACTCACCCAATCGGCCGTAGCTTGGAGAGTAACATGGTCACCCCATTCCCCGTTCCTATTTCGTCAAAGACAAAACAAACTCAGATGTTGTAAAATATTGGCTTTCATCTAAAAGATACGATGAAAACGAGTGAAAATAATGTGGGGATTGGGAAAGGTGTGTGAACCTTCTCATCTTTTTCAGATAGTCATTGTAAGCCATAGGAACATAACCCTCGTAGATCTCTCGGTTATACGCAAGCTGGTAAAACAATTGAACAAAAGAAAAAGAAGAGTGTAAAGCCCGAAAAGGAGGGGGAGATTTTCAATGGAATGTGCCCAACCTGATGAACAACTTGTTCCCTCACGGATTTGTGGTGATCAGGAGAGTGGTAAAGCTGATCTGACAATGAATGAAACTGAGACAAGATGATGAAATCTAGTGAGACACTACAAGAAATTCAACCAAACATGATAGAGATACAAGAAGAAAAGAACCAACCTGGCAGTTTCCATCTCCTTGAACCTTGTTCTCAACCAGACCATACAATTTTAATCTTTAAGAATGCATTGACATATGCACCACAAGAAGATCATTCAAAGTTTTAACACTTTGCTTAGAAACAATTTAAACAAAACTGTAAAACTGCATTGAAAGTGAAACTTTCGTAATTTATAAATGAGAAAACCACCTCTGGAGAAGCCGTTCATGATCTGAAGTCTGCTCATCCTCGGTTGGTATTTCTCCATTGATTTTTGGAACAAGCTACAACAAGCCATTAGAACACAGGTTTTAGCTCAAATAAAATCAGATGCCCCCTAGTCAGACACCGAGAAGAAATGTTTCCCGTCTGAAAATTTGCAACTTGAACACTTCCGAATAAGTATATATAACCATTGCTAAAAAAATGTGCACTTACAGGAACGGAGACCATCTGGTTCAATCTTTTTCCGACCACACTATCTAATGAACAAGAGTCATCATCATCATCATCATCATCCATGAGAAGCATATCTCGTGTTAGGGAGCTTTCTCCTTCTTGACTTCCTACACCTGCACCGTTCATGTCGTCCACATCTCCATAGTCTTTATGATTTCCACTTTCCTCAGGACTATCATTGGCTTCTCCTTGATTTTCTTGCCCTAGAGACGATAAATATTCACAATCATGACCCGGATTCTGAAAGCCACATTCAAAAAAAGGATGATTGATGATTGTACAGGCAAATATTATCAATGCAAGAACTCGAATATCCACCTTCTGGCCGAAACCACTCTTGCGAAACAACAGAAGACCGGCTGGAATTATCAAAACCCAATGCATCTGCATGAGCAAATCTAGACAATTCTTCTTGGTAAAGATGAGAAATAACCTCATCGTTTTGTACATAACCGGTCAAAGCTCCGTTATAACCTTCTCTAACTCGGCTATAAGTAACAGTGTCTGTCTCATACCGAGTAACACTACTGCAACAGCCAGCATTGGCAACAGTACAAACCTTCAGATCCTGGAGATCCCACCTAACAACATCTGGATCAAGTTCCTGCCCCATCACCTCGGTTTCTGCTCTTGCTTGTGAGAAGCTATCTCATAAACTGTAAATGGCAAAAAAAAAAAAAAAGAACAGATGATCATGTCTCTTGAACACAAGCTAACTAAATTCAACCAAGACAACCTCCACTGGTAATACCAGACAAAGAAATTGCATCTAACCACCTAGAAATGAACCAAACAATGGACAGGTGACATATGACTACGCTTGGTAACGACTCTTCCACAGAAAACTGTAAAGAATGATACATACCAATATATATATATATATATACATACAATGATCCAAGTCTGTCATGCATAGCGATTCCATTATTTTGTTTATCCCCATGGAACTCGATGTAGATAAAGTTATAAAAAACCTAGGAAACTTTTGGGAGATGACATAAAAACTTACCTGACTAGAAACACCAAAAGGGATTGGAATTCAAACAGATATGACCCGAACAAATAACTCATAAAACCCAGAAGAGAAAGATAGCAACTTAAGTTGAAAGCTTCACAACAGGACAACAATGGCCGAAAACCCTAAAACCCCAGAACGTCGACTTCCATAAACCTGACGCTAAAATCATCACCCGGGAACCAAACAAAACCAAATCCGCCAAAAACATACCAAACCCAATAAACTAAGAAATAAAATTTCTAAAAATTTTCAATTCGACAAAAAAAGAGAGAATTTAAGTCCCAAGAGAGACTAAAATAGAAAAAAGTAAAGCAAACAGAAAGAACGTAGGGCACCAACCTCAGAAACCTAAGAGATGAAAATCGCTGAGACCAGGAAGAAAAGGGTTTTGGATCAAAGAAAAAGCAGAGATGGATTTGGGTTTCAGACCAGACAAAAAATCGCAGCCGCTGAAGAAGAAGAAAGCCGGCGGATTTGACGTTCACGACGGAGACGGTTAAGATTATCGTGACTTCTCCTTACAGAAACGCCACGGTTTGCCCACGTGTCACCTCCTCATTGATGCTATCATCACTGTCTTCTTTTCCCTTTTTTAAATTTGTTTTGAACAAAAATCTTCACTCTTTAAAAAAAAATTATATTAATTTTTTAATTAAAGTAAAAATTTGTAAAAAAAATAGCAACAAAAATCTAAGTAGATATAATTTTATGAAATGAACAAATAAAACAAAATATCATCTTATATATATAATTCAGTTTAATTGGAGACAAGTTCCGAGGTTTAATAAGGGGACATGGACATTGTTTAGAAATTATCAATCGCCAATTAAGCTTTTACAATAAAATTTCATATACCATCATTATGTTTACACATCCAAAGTTTCTAAATTATTAATTACCACTCACATTAATGCCAACCAATTGCATTTTGGTTCACTGTTACAACATTTTAAATAAAATAAATATCTAATTATAATCATAAACCCACTTTCCATCATACACAATCGTTGTTCAAACTCATTTAAATCCCTAGAATAATGGAAAATTATGTTCCTTGGGATCTATTTCTAAACATATTGTTGGTCAATTCATTATATGATACAAATACAAAAGGTTCTAGAGTCTCTGACTCATCAAGAGGGTTTACCTATACTGATCACTGATTTGGTGCAGCAATTACAGAAGGATGATAGTGAAAAGCAGAAGCGGACAAGAAGCTTTGCCTGTTGTAGTAACAGAAATGGAAGACATGTGAGAGACAGAAGAGAAGCTTCATGGTGTTTTTATTATGGTTTTATCATGTTTCTTGTACAAGTCATTTGATGTTCCTCCCCTCATTTCCATATGATATCGCCCAGAAACCGAAGAGCAGGAACTCCTCTGATCTCCATATCCACCATTGGAGATTCGATCAGCTCCAAGCTCGATAGTTCTTGATCGTTTCTTATCATTTCCAGAGCCCGCATCTGATCCTGCAAAAACAACATATTCCCCGTTTCCGAGCGTTGAATCTTTGATACCATCACAGGTTACAAACGCAAGAACGTGGCGTCACTCTTTCGTGCTCGTGAAAAAAGACCCGGGATTTAGATGCTTTGATACTCGAGGATCAAACACGATGAGGGCAAACCCTGAAAAGGGCGACTCGTTTTCATGCTTGAGAGAAAGAATCTAACTTTGATTCTTTGATCGCTGCAGAATGTTCTCGTGGAAAAAAGAAACCGAGTTTCTTGACCATTTGCAGAACAGGCACAAGCCAGAGCAGGATTGTGTCCGATCATTATTCGGGATATTGTCATTATACGGGATATTGTCATAGAATTCCATGGTTCAATGTTATCCCTTGCAACCATTATTGTCTTAAGAAGCCATTGCTAACGAGCTTTAGAAGAAAGGCCAAGAGCTGATGAGAGACAGAGAGAGAGAGATATGTACATATATACCTTTCTCTTCATGGCACAGAATTTGCAGTCTGAGGAAGTTGGAGGGAGGATCTGATTTACGATGAGTCTCTTCACGGGAACACTTTCCTTCATCAACGAAGCACGTAATCTAGACGACTCGCTCACTGCCATCACCTTTAGAAACAGATAAACCGGGAAAGAGACACCGTGAATAAATATCGAGAAAAACCCTCCATAGGGACAAGTGGCTCTTACAGGAACCAAACACATAGACAAGATACAGTCAATAGCTACTTTCTCTTAAACAAGACAAACTTTTCGGTATAAACCCTAATACTTGCAAGCAATGGTTTCAGTGTGGAGAAACGTTACCGTAGGGATAGTGACAATGACAAATTCTGTTGCTTCTGTGTCACGGAAAAGCTCACGAACTTTTACCATCCTCTCCCTCAATCTCTCCAATTTGTCAGCCTTTCCGAGAAAGAAAACTTCATATAAATGATACAGTGAACTTAAAATCAAATAACTGCTAATATACACAAATCTTACAGCATCCGGCCGGTTTTCTTCTTGGCCAAAGACAGATTTAATCGCTGAAGTAGCTGAAGATATTTTATGCTTAAGCTGTAGAAGCCGAACCAAAATTCACAATCAGAAAAATTTACTCGAAAAACATGAAAAGAAAAATAATTCTCGATGTTCCTACCTTCAGTATTTTACCTATGGATGCGTCCAGAAAGTCAGGTAACGAGAGTAGCCTTAGAGTATGTCCCTGCGATTTAATAACAAACGTGCTCAAGCATTCATAGAGAAGGATGTAAATCACAGAGCCTCCTTACTGTTGGTGCTGTATCAAAGACTATTCTGGTGAACATTCCATACTCGGGTGAATCCAAAAATTGAATGACCTGCAAAAAGGGTTCATCGTAATCGCCAAGCGAGGAAAAAAAAGGTATCAGATGAAACAAAACAGGAGAAGTTAGAGAGCAATATAGAGAGAAGGATATAAGTACAACCTTAGATATGGCAATGGCTTCATCCAGTCCAGGAGGCGGAGTGTCAAGCAACTCTCCGAGTTTTAATTCCCCCAACTTCATCGAATTCCAACATCATAAAACCAAAGTCAGCATCAAACGAAGAAGATTTAACGGGCAACTAAAAATATATCGAAGATATACCACTTCTGCTTAACGATTACCCAAAACGTTACATTGGGGATATTATCCAAAAGCAGCAGGCAGAACACAACAAGATGAACTAGTAAGAAGCTACAAGAACTGAGAAATGTATCGATGCAAGCTATTCAGAAGAACACAACTACTCAAAATCTATTGCATATTGGGTCAGTGTCAAGCTAGAAGAAACAACCGACAAAAGATCATTTGACGCTACTTTCAGATTGGTTCTTTTCAAATACATCGGCATAGGGCTTCTCATAATCTATGGTTGAATCATTTTTTCACGTTTCTCTGTCCATAGAAGATTTCTAGTAATGCATTCGGTTTCATTTTGTGTAAAAAAAACATTTGATAGATAGGACTGATACCTGTTCAACAAGCATTCCCAGTCCCATACCATCCATGAAATCCTTGATGCCACTCCCACCGTCCTTCTGTGTGACACTACGGAATTCTTCCCTCGCCTTCTCGGGGTTTATCTGTTGCATCTCTATAAATTAAGCTACTGAGTGAAGAAACTAAGAATCCCCACAAAACCCTAACTACAGAACAGCAGTTTACTGTCTGCTTCAGACGTACCTCGAGAGCAAACAATGGCGATTCAGGCCCTTCAACAGGTACAAGCATTCCTCCGGTCAAGTCCTGCACAAAACGGAACACAGAACCAATAAAAACCCATAAACAAATCCAAATCACAGAACAAGAAAGACCAGTCCTTTACACAGATCTGATCATGCCTGAGCGAAAGAATCACTCAAGGAATGAGCTGGATCCGTAGAAACCACAAGGGTTGGGTGCCCATTGTTGGCGAATTTGACAGCCAATGAAGCAGCACAACTAGTTTTCCCTACTCCTCCTTTCCCGCCAAGCATGTAATACTTCCGTTTCGTGTCCGAAACCATATCGTCGAATCCCGACACGGTTTCCGCCGGACTCGCCACCGATTTCACTAAACCCAGAAACATAAAGCAGCACATACTATTCAATCCCTCAGAACATCTATCTACACGATACGTAAAACGATGTTTCATGAGCCAGAATCCGGACCTTGAAGCGAGTTTCTGAGGCGATTCTGTCGGACGGAGAGCGAGAGGCGCGAAGGGTAGATGAGGGAAGTGGATGGGCAGATATTTTTGGGGGAGAAAGAGCAGAAATCGATGCCCATCATCGGATTTCTTCGTGAGAATCTGGATTTGCAGAGAGGAGATGAAGATATAGAAGAAGACCAAGAGAGTGTCGCCATTTTCATCGCCCAAGCTCTTCTTCCCTTTCCACAAAGCGCTGAGAGACCAGAGGAAGAGGAGGAGAAGAGAACAACGTCGCGATTTCCGAGTGAATTATATATACCCTTACAAAATCCTTAGATTAAAATCATTTCTTTTCATCCTATACCTTGCTCGAATTAAATAATATATAATATCAGAATTAAACATAAAAAAAATCCAATAAAAATAATTCTTATACGATATATAGATAAAATAAACTTGAAATGAACATAAGAATAAAATTTTTAAATTTTTTTAACATTTTTGTTAACAAAAACTGAATTTGAATAAAACAGGAATTGAATTTTAATGAATTTCTGCCTTAATTGAACGAGTGGAAAATCAGCGATCCATTCATATTCTAAGCCGAATCTTACATGTATATTATTATGAAACAAAAATATTGCGATATTTAATATTATCATATGGTAATAATTCCTTCAATGGTATAAATTTTAGTCATAGCGTAGTTTCAAGAAACTCTGAAACGTATAAATTTTTAGAATACACTCAATAACATTTTGCAAGTTCGGGAATATACTCCCACACATTTTATAAATTTAAAAATTATAATGATATATTTTTATAAATTTAACAAGTGAAAAATTTAAGAATTATTAGTTTTACACTGTCATTATTAGAATATTTACACTTTTTTATATTCATTATTTGCATAGTAAACGAGTATATTTACATGTAATATCCACCGTCCACGTGTCTTCGTACAATCCGACGGCTGACGATTCGTTAGGCTATTTTCCTGGGCCGGACAGGGCAAGTCCAAGTCATGTCATGTCCTTTTGCTTGGGTTGGACATAGACACTATGGGCTTGATAAACCGGTCCAATACATTGAACTCCAACCTCGAACTCGTATCCATTATTTTATTTTTGTCATCGCCGACAAAAATAATATACCAATACCTAAATTTTAATTTATAAATATATGAATTGCTTAAAAAATAAACTCTAAGATCCCAATTTTTTTCCTTTTCAAACGTTTTACCGAAGATACATCTTATTTTAATAAATTTAAAAATGTTTCGATCAATTAGTTATCAAAAGGTTTAAATTTACACCATGGTTGATTTCACTTATAGATCCCAAAATAATTTGAATATTTATTAGATGTTTAGTTCTAACAAAATGATTCTCATTTGTAAATTGGGTAATTTAAATATCCATCAGTTGATTATTTTCAATAGTTCATGTATCAATAGGGTTTTTTTATATTAAATCAAGTCATTGCAAAAAAAAAAAAAAAAGCTGAGAAAGCAATGAGCTATTTTGATTAAAGATTTGTATTTATCTGGTAATTTTCCACTTCATTTAAAAACTTGAAAGAAAAATAAAAACACAACTAATTCTGTGTCATGACATTATTTGCAAATGATGGAACTACAAGAATACTCACATAGACATATATGTAACACACAAGAGGGGAAATTTATAGAAAAAAAAGTATAATAATTGAGGGGGGGGGGGTTGGGTCATTGTCTTATAATGGATATAGTTTTAACAAAAATAATCATTACATATATAACTAAATTATTATTTTCCATTTAGGATTCATTAGGAATGCCGTGCTGTTAGACGTTAGAATCGATTTCTATAAAAATTTGGTTATGCACATGCTCGTATTTTTTTTTTTGTATCGTTACAGTTCACTTTGAACAGACTTGGACAACAAATTGTCCAAACTTTTATATAATGGGTGTTCTTTGACTTCCACATACATACATACATACATACGTACGTACGTACGTACGTACATACATATATATATATACGTGTATGTATATATGTATATATGAGTAGGTTTTATAAAAGGTTGTATGTATCATGTAAATGTTACATCGTTCGTGGTAAAACTGAATCTCATCGATTAAATGGGCCGTATCGTTGGAATTGGCCCAATACTTATCAAAACGCATTTTATTGGCCCATATATATATATATTCGAAAAAAATAGGGGCAATTTGCATAATATTATGAAATAGGAGAGGTAATTTGGTAAATGTATTAATGAGAAAAATGGTATCAAGAGCCTCTGTAATTTCTAGTTTTCATCTTTGATTTTTCTTTGGAGTATCGTTTCCGATGTCGAATCCGGCGGATTCTTCAACAGGAACTGTACATCCACCTTCGATCGCAAGTTCTTCATCATCATCTCAGCTGGATCCGTATGCAAATCCGTTGTATCTTCATGCCGGAGACTCATCGAGCTTAACTCTAGCTACAGAGAAGCTAATCGGTGAGGGAAACTACAATTTGTGGTCTCGATCGATCATCAAGGCACTGAGCCCGAAGAACAAGCTTGGATTTGTATATGGAACCATTCCTCGACCTGATGAAGCGCATCCTGACTTTGGAGCATGGATGCGTTGCAATGATTTGGTATGTTCTTGGTTGAACAACTCTGTTGCTACTGATATTAAGCACTTGACGATGTATATAGACATCGCAAGTGATATCTGGAAACACTTAGAAAGGACTTACAAACAGACGAATGTTTCGAAAGTTTATTCAATTCAGCATCAGGTAGATTCGTTATATCAAGGAGCTATGGATCTGAATGGATATTATCATAAGTTGACTACTCTTTGGGAAGAATTGAAGAATTTTGATCTGATGCCTAGTTGTACTTGTGGTAGATGAAACTGTGATGCAGATGCCAAATGGCATAAGTTCTATGAAAGGCGAAATGTAGTGAAGTTTTTTATGAGGTTGAATGAGTCATATACTGCTGCTAGAAGACAGATTTTGATGATAGAGCCACTTCCAGATTTGACTCGTACATATAATATGATTGTTCAAGAAGAACAACAGAGATTGAATTACAATCAGCCGATGGATTCAGTAGCTTTTCAATCCTCTACACCTTATCAAGCTTCACATCAGAAGCCAAGGAATCAATATCAGTCCTCTTCTCAACAGTCAACGTTTCAGAATTCAAATAAGCCAAGGCTTCATTGCACACATTGTGGGATGAACAATCATACTGTGGATAAGTGCTACAAGATTCATGGCTATCCTCAAGGGAACAATTGGCAAAATCGACAAGGATCGCAGAAACCTCGTACCTTTAGTAGCAACAGACCAAATAACCATATTAATATGGTTAATACTGGAGGGACATAAGTTGATGATAAGGTTTCTGTACATACTCGGCCAGGTTTTGATGAAAAGGCTGAGGCTCTCCTTGCACAGTTTACTTCTCAGCTTCAGGGACTAAGGCATTCTTTCAAGGACATGGACTTAACAGCTAATCCTCATCAGCCAATTCCTCACCAGCAAAACTCCTTCTCACATAACTTTACCCAACCTAACTCACCAGGTATTTCTCATTCCATCTTTTCAGCTTTAAAAACATCTGTTTCTTTGCCGCATGTGTGTTGGATTTTGGATATAGGAGCAAGTAGTCATGTCTGTTGTGATTTGTCCTTATTCTCTGATATACAAACCATTCCATCTGTGACAATCACATTACCTACTGGTACATCGATTGTTGTTTCACAGTCAGGCACTATACATATCTCTTCACATCTGATTCTTTATTCAGTTTTATTTGTGCCTTCCTTTTGCTATAATCTTTTGAGTATAAGTGCCTTGACTAAAAACATTCCTTATACAGTGACTTTTTCTCACGATACTTACCTCATTCAGGACCCTACTCGGGACTTGATGATTGGCAAGGGTGAGCAAAAGCATAATCTGTACATTTTGGAACTGCAGAATCCTTCATCCATTCGTTATTCTCTTCCAACTTCTCTTTGTACTGCAGTTTCCACAGCCAATATTGATGTATGACATCAAAGATTGGGACATCCCTCTTTTCTCAAAGTCAAGTCTCTTGGCAATTCTTTAGAGATTGTTTTTACAGATTTAAATACTCAGTTTGAACATTGCTCTATATGTCCAGTTGCTAAGCAGAAACAACTTTCTTTTCCTGTTTCTGGCAAATTGTCTACTCATCCTTTTGATTTGATACATATTGATATATGGGGACCTTTTCATGTTTCAACTCCAGAAGGCTATAGATATTTTTTAACTATTGTAGATGATTGTTCAAGGGTTACATGGATTTATCTTTTGAGAACAAAATCTTATGTTTCAGCAAAGTTTGTTAGTTTTCTGAATCTGATTGAAACTCAGTTTTCTGCTCGAGTAAAAACAGTAAGATCGGACAATGCTCCAGAATTGAAGTTTACAAACCTGTTTGATCAAAAAGGGATTGTTCATTATTTTTCTTGTCCATATACCCCTGAGCAAAACTCAGTTGTTGAAAGAAAACATCAACATGTTTTAAATATAGCTCGATCTCTCTTGTTTCAGTCAAATGTACCTTTACAATTCTGGGGTGAATGTGTTTTAACTGCAGCTTATTTGATAAATCGCATTCCAACACCTGTTTTGCAGCAAAAATCTCCATTTGAAGTTTTAATGTCCAAGAAACCTGAGTATTCACACCTTAAGATTTTTGGTTGTTTATGTTATGCTGGAACACTTTTAAAAGACAGACACAAGTTTTCTCCAAGAGCAAAAGCTTCAGTTTTCCTTGGTTATCCACAAGGTGTTAAGGGATATAAAGTTTTGGATCTTGAAACATATCAGGTCTCTATATCTCAAAATGTGATTTTTCAAGAGGACAAATTTTCTTTTCATACAGATTCTATTCCTCAGTCCACACAGAATTTCTTTCCCTCTGTGTCTTCAGATTCATACTTTCTTTATGATTCTGTTCAGCCTCATCTTTCTCAAATTCCAACATCTTCTGTGCCTTCTGTTGTTAATGACTCTAATCATGTTGTTAACACAGAAGAAGACCGTATATCAGAGAATATAGGCAAACTCAGTAGACATACTCGACCTCCTGCATACTTATCTGACTATCATTGCTACCACATAACCCATACTAGACCTCCTCTTCCTTCACAGACCACACCATATCCTTTATCCTCTTTTCTGTCTTATGACAAACTTCATTCTTCCTATAAAAACTATGCCCTTTCTATATCCACTGAACCTGATCCCACATGTTTTACTAAGGCTGTTAAGTTTAGTCATTGGAAAGATGCAATGAAACTGGAGCTAGAAGCTCTGTCAAGGACGAGTACTTGGATTATATGTGATCTGCCACAGGGAAAGCAACCAATTGGTTGTAAATGGGTTTTTAAAACCAAGTATAATGTTGATGGTACAGTAGAAAGGTATAAAGCAAGGTTGGTTGCAAAAGGTTACACTCAAGTTGAATGGATAGATTATGTGGAGACTTTTAGTCCAGTGGCAAAATTGACTTCGGTTAGATTGCTTATTGCCTTAGCTGCTGCAAATAATTGGATCTTAGATCAAATGGATGTGTCAAATGCATTCTTGAATGGAGATTTAGATGAGGAGATCTATATGTCTTTACCTCCCGGATTTGCTCAGCTTCAGGGGGAGCATGTTTCGAAGACTTCTGTTTGTAAACTTCAAAAATCACTTTATGGATTGAAGCAAGCCTCTAGACAATGGAATCAGAAATTGACTAGTGTGTTGGTGGAGGCTGGTTATGTGCAATCACATGCTGATAATTCTTTATTTGTCAAGAAGAATGAGAGTTTAATTGTTGCAGCATTGATATATGTTGATGATATTTTAGTCACAGGGAATGATAAAAATATGGTTCAACAATTGAAGGATACTCTGCATGCTCAGTTCTTGGTCAAGGACTTGGGACAATTAAAATTCTTTCTCGGGCTTGAAGTTGCAAGGTCTCAAAGAGGTATTTTCCTCTGTCAACGAAAGTATTCTTTGGAATTGTTGGAGGAATTTGGTTACTTAGGATGTAAACCTGCTGTTACACTTATTGATTCAAGGTTGAAGTTGACAAAGGAGTCTGGAGATTTATTGACTGATGCTTCTCATTATAGAAAGCTTATTGGAAAACTGATTTATCTTGCTGTTACTCGTCCGGATATCTCGTTTTCTGTCAATAAGCTTTCTCAGTTTATGGCTCAACCTAGAACAGAACATCTCTCTGCAGCATATAGAGTTCTTCGATATTTGAAAGGTGCTCCTGCTAAAGGGCTTATGTATGCTGCTGATTCTCCTATGGTTTTGTCTGGGTTTAGTGATGCTGATTGGGCATCTTGCCCTGATACTAGACGATCAGTTACTGGATTTTGTGTTTTCTTGGGATCTAGCTTGATTTCATGGAAAAGCAAGAAACAAGTGAATGTTTCTAGGAGCAGTGCTAAATCTGAGTATAGGGCTTTGGCTCAGACTAGCTGTGAACTTACTTGGATTGCTTCATTGCTTCGAGAATTGTCTATTTCAGTTCCATTGCCTGTTACTCTCCATTGTGATTCACAATCTGCCCTACACATTGCTGGAAATCCAGTTTATCATGAGAGGACAAAGTATATAGAATTGGATTACCATGTGGTTAGGGAGAAGATCAAGAGTGGTTTCATCAAGACTCAGTATGTGGCTTCTGTTGATCAAGTTGCTGACCTTTTAACAAAGTCATTGTCTGCTGATAAGATGAACCATTTGTTGATCAAGATGGGCATTCAAAGTTTGTATGCTCTATCTTGAGGGGGAGTAATAGAAGACTATGTCTTTAGCGTTGGTTCAATTGGTTTTCGGTTTAGTTTTGATTCTGGTTTATTTTGGTTTAGTGATGCACATTTGAGTTGGTTTTGGTTTTCGTATTTCTTGAGTTTGTATAAGTAGAACTGTTTTTCTACTTTTGAATACAAGAGAAAATTTCCACAATTTGTTTCTTCCGCATTCTCTCGATCTCCGATTTCAAAATAAATTTTTGATTAGATAGTAAGCACCGACCAACACATTTATAGAATTATATATATGGATACATAATAATTTGAGAAGATATAAAAAAATACAAACAAAAATATATAAAATGGACAAATGTATATAGAATATGGTTTACCAAAAAAAAGTATATTATGAAGACAATATTTTTGTTATCTTCCTTTGGTAGTGTATTTTCTGTGTTATTTATTTTATATCAAACGTGAAAACGAAAAAAAAAAATACGATCATAAGTAACTACTTTGAGACAGTGATTATTTATATCAATATATATATATATATATATACACACACACACACACTTTCCCGGTAGGTACGAGGTAGTTTTCTGTCTTTATATGACACAACAAATATGTATTACAACCCACATATTTTTATTAATTTAATTTTTTTTTGAAGCACATGGAATTTGTTGTATTTGAGATTTAAGAAAGCCTCCCTCGGTTGGGAGCCTCGACTATATATGATTAAGTCTTTCCTTTGACATGTCATTTCCCCGAAATGGTTACTGATATAAAATTTAATATTGCATAAGAAAAAAAAAACAATATCATACACACACACACACATATATGTGTGTATATATATATATGGCGGTTACGGTTGTATAATATTATTCGGCCTTACCAAATTTCCAATGATTGTTTTGTTGGTTGAATTGAATATTATCTAATGATACAATCAGTAATAAATGGTCTATAATTTTTTTTCCCAAGTACACGCTTACCCTTTTAATTCCAAAAATTTCTACGATCTAACAAATAAAATAAATATATTATTCAATTTTGTATATCCACCAACCTGAATACCAAAAAAAAATGTATATCCAAAATATTACTCTGTAAATTTGTATATTTTTGCACATATACTCAATTTTTTATGTTGAGCCATATATATGTGATTTGTAAACTAATAATTATTGATATTTTTCAATTTAAATAGGACTATGTATGTCATGTTTGATCCAGATTAGTCAACGATGACATATTTCAACTATAGTATATACATAGATATGTATGTATGTATGTATGCATGTATGTATGTATGTATCTACTAGAAGGGTTTACAGAGAGGAAAGCCAATGGTATGGGAAGAGTCAGCCCCCTTCCTTGGTTTCTTCCACACGGCTCTTCCCAAAATTGCCAAATATGAAAAATACCTACAAAGCCATACAAAGTTGAATCTAACGTCACCATACCCTCTCTCTCTCTCTCCCCCTCCAAAGATATATATAAACCCTAGTTTGCAAAGAAGAGGAGAAGCAGTCTCTCTCTCTCTCTTTCTCTCTCCAGTCCATAGATTGCTTGGGTTGCAAGTAAATGGGGAGGCAGCAAAGGCTGTTGCATAACCTGAAGAAGGGAGAACAGATGAAAGAGCAGGAATTTGGTCGGCTTCTTTCATATGCCGAAGTGTTCACCAAGAGATCGAAGCCGAAGCTTATCTCACTTCTTCTCTTCTCTCTTCTCTCTGGTTGCTTCATCTTCGCTCCTCACCTCCTCTGTTTTTCTCCCCCTTCTGCTCTCTCCCCACTCGGTATGTTCACCTTCCCTGAACTGTTCATGTCGTGGTACAAAGCATATATTTTGTTTTCAGTCTTGTTTTTTCTTGCTGTTCTGAACTGTTCTTGTTCCGGGTTTTACAGGTTCTGTAAAAGCGAGTGATGTTCATAGCCATACCCTTCTCTCCATGCCTTCCACTGTATCGGATGGTTAGTACTTAAGCATTCTCAGAAGATTAGCCGTATAACTTCAGACAACACACTTTTAAGCATCAGGCGAAAGATTCTTGCAGAACAAACTGTCGTCATGATCTGTTTCTGGTCTGATCATATTGAAATTTGTTTCTTCTGGTGAATATATGCAGAGGGTATGTGGTGTGACAGAACAGGATTCCGCACAGACATCTGTTTCATGAAAGGCGATATCAGAACACACTCGCCTTCTTCTTCAATCTTGGTCTACACCGGCTCACAAGACAGATCAGACGGTTTCACCAACCATGCCTCTCATGAAAAGATCAAACCCTATACCAGGAAATGGGAGGCGAGCGTAATGGATACCATTACCGAGCTAAACCTTGTCTATTTCAGTTCCATTGCCTGTTACTCTCCATTGTGATTCACAATCTGCCCTACACATTGCTGGAAATCCAGTTTATCATGAGAGGACAAAGTATATAGAATTGGATTACCATGTGGTTAGGGAGAAGATCAAGAGTGGTTTCATCAAGACTCAGTATGTGGCTTCTGTTGATCAAGTTGCTGACCTTTTAACAAAGTCATTGTCTGCTGATAAGATGAACCATTTGTTGATCAAGATGGGCATTCAAAGTTTGTATGCTCTATCTTGAGGGGGAGTAATAGAAGACTATGTCTTTAGCGTTGGTTCAATTGGTTTTCGGTTTAGTTTTGATTCTGGTTTATTTTGGTTTAGTGATGCACATTTGAGTTGGTTTTGGTTTTCGTATTTCTTGAGTTTGTATAAGTAGAACTGTTTTTCTACTTTTGAATACAAGAGAAAATTTCCACAATTTGTTTCTTCCGCATTCTCTCGATCTCCGATTTCAAAATAAATTTTTGATTAGATAGTAAGCACCGACCAACACATTTATAGAATTATATATATGGATACATAATAATTTGAGAAGATATAAAAAAATACAAACAAAAATATATAAAATGGACAAATGTATATAGAATATGGTTTACCAAAAAAAAGTATATTATGAAGACAATATTTTTGTTATCTTCCTTTGGTAGTGTATTTTCTGTGTTATTTATTTTATATCAAACGTGAAAACGAAAAAAAAAAATACGATCATAAGTAACTACTTTGAGACAGTGATTATTTATATCAATATATATATATATATATATACACACACACACACACTTTCCCGGTAGGTACGAGGTAGTTTTCTGTCTTTATATGACACAACAAATATGTATTACAACCCACATATTTTTATTAATTTAATTTTTTTTTGAAGCACATGGAATTTGTTGTATTTGAGATTTAAGAAAGCCTCCCTCGGTTGGGAGCCTCGACTATATATGATTAAGTCTTTCCTTTGACATGTCATTTCCCCGAAATGGTTACTGATATAAAATTTAATATTGCATAAGAAAAAAAAAACAATATCATACACACACACACACATATATGTGTGTATATATATATATGGCGGTTACGGTTGTATAATATTATTCGGCCTTACCAAATTTCCAATGATTGTTTTGTTGGTTGAATTGAATATTATCTAATGATACAATCAGTAATAAATGGTCTATAATTTTTTTTCCCAAGTACACGCTTACCCTTTTAATTCCAAAAATTTCTACGATCTAACAAATAAAATAAATATATTATTCAATTTTGTATATCCACCAACCTGAATACCAAAAAAAAATGTATATCCAAAATATTACTCTGTAAATTTGTATATTTTTGCACATATACTCAATTTTTTATGTTGAGCCATATATATGTGATTTGTAAACTAATAATTATTGATATTTTTCAATTTAAATAGGACTATGTATGTCATGTTTGATCCAGATTAGTCAACGATGACATATTTCAACTATAGTATATACATAGATATGTATGTATGTATGTATGCATGTATGTATGTATGTATCTACTAGAAGGGTTTACAGAGAGGAAAGCCAATGGTATGGGAAGAGTCAGCCCCCTTCCTTGGTTTCTTCCACACGGCTCTTCCCAAAATTGCCAAATATGAAAAATACCTACAAAGCCATACAAAGTTGAATCTAACGTCACCATACCCTCTCTCTCTCTCTCCCCCTCCAAAGATATATATAAACCCTAGTTTGCAAAGAAGAGGAGAAGCAGTCTCTCTCTCTCTCTTTCTCTCTCCAGTCCATAGATTGCTTGGGTTGCAAGTAAATGGGGAGGCAGCAAAGGCTGTTGCATAACCTGAAGAAGGGAGAACAGATGAAAGAGCAGGAATTTGGTCGGCTTCTTTCATATGCCGAAGTGTTCACCAAGAGATCGAAGCCGAAGCTTATCTCACTTCTTCTCTTCTCTCTTCTCTCTGGTTGCTTCATCTTCGCTCCTCACCTCCTCTGTTTTTCTCCCCCTTCTGCTCTCTCCCCACTCGGTATGTTCACCTTCCCTGAACTGTTCATGTCGTGGTACAAAGCATATATTTTGTTTTCAGTCTTGTTTTTTCTTGCTGTTCTGAACTGTTCTTGTTCCGGGTTTTACAGGTTCTGTAAAAGCGAGTGATGTTCATAGCCATACCCTTCTCTCCATGCCTTCCACTGTATGTATGCTGCTGATTCTCCT